GGTGCACACGGTGTTCTCCCTTTGTTCGGCATTGGCTTTGACGGAGAACAGAAAACAAAAACATGCCATAAACACAGAATGAGGGTCTGTCTGTAGGTTTGATTCAGCACCCAAGGACCATGGTTGTGCTGTAGAAACCACTGCAGGATGGAAGTTTTCAATATTGCACGAATATTGAAACATAGGTAATCAGAGGCACCAAAGGCACCGGTCATGTGAGTCATCATCAAAAGACAGGCCGGGTAAATATCGCACATTTCCTGTCAGCTGCTGCTAAGACTTGCATTTTTCTAAACGAAAAGAAATCCTGCGGGGCTTTTTACTTATCACTTGTTTGAAGAAAGGCTGTTTGAGGTTCCAGCATTGAACACGAGGCCTAGGTTGCAAAATTAGTTTTCCCGTAGCATCACGAGATGTATTATACTCTGTTAACACTGTTTGACATTGAACTGTCTGTCGTAACTAATGGTGCTGCTAGTCTGTGGGGTATCCCACAAAAAAACAAACCCATTAGAGGTAAATAACTAATTTTGAAAAAGTGGATGTGCCACAGAGATGTGAAGAAGGACCCTTTAGTGTCTTGGGATCTCTTAACTACTTCCAGGCACCTGTACAGACAGGAACCTCCATGGGCAGCATTCTCCAATGTCCTGGGGCAGGTTGCAAATGATGAATATATTAAGAAAGTCTTTCCAAACTTTCTGCTTGCTCTAGCCCTGGCCTCAACCCTGTTCACATCTGAGTTCCTTGGCCCCCAGCCCACCTCAAAGCCCAAATTCCTACCAAAGATCTTTATTTTAATATAGTCAAACTTACCAATTTTTTAATGGTATTTTTGTATCTGCTTAAGAAACCCAAGGTCATGAAGACATTCTCCAGTGCTTTCCTCTGGAAGCTTTACTGATTTGCCTTTCACACTTAGATCGATGTCTTGGGGATATCTTTAAGATTTTAAGGTTTCGTTGTCCTATATTGAGCACACACAGTGTGACAAGCATCCTGCTAGGCACTGTGCTTTAATTAGTCCATTTTACAGATGAAGTGAGTGATAGAGGTTCAGAGGGGTGAAGAGATCAGAGGGCAAGAAGCAGGCTTTGAACCCAGGACATCTGTGTCTTACTTAGCCACAGCCTAGAACAAGCTACACTTATGTAGGAGTGCTAGACTTTCCCCCCAAGGAAGGCAGGTGAGGACTGACCCTTCTCAGAATATTGGTGAATAAAGGGACTGGTAATGTGCCTGTTTGGCTCCAAAGACCACTAAGGGCTGCAAAGCAACCTTGGGGGTTCAGAGGATCAAAGGCTGTTCCCAAACATCCCATAACATTTTTAGAAATCCATGTTCCATGAACCACATGCTAAGAAGCAATTCCAGAGTTCCATGGTTCAGTGTGATGCTAACAACCACTTAAGATCGCCAAGATCATGGCCAAGAGGTGCCTGGCTCTGCCCCATCTAGTTTTTCGCATCCTATCTACGGAAATGACATATTAATAGATTTCCTGGTCTTAATCCATTCTTGCATTTCCAGAAGAAGCCCTGTCTATTTCTGGGACATTATTTTTAATACACTGTTGCCCTGGTGGTTTTCCAGATGGCCTCATAAATTCTGGGAGCTGAGAGAACCTCTGTGGAGCAGGGGACAAAATCCCATCACCTCTAACGTTTTCCAGAATCAGAACCCATGAAAGCAAAAGGCCAAAACAAAACTCAAGGAAGAGAATACTGTAGCCCAAGTACATAGATCGAGCCTGGACCAGCTTGTGGTGGGATAGCTGAGGATAATTTGCAGCTTTTATAAATTCAACATGTTATATATCAATTATTCATGAACTTCCTGAAAAGTCCATGTTGTAGTAAATGGTCATTTTTCCAAGCCATGATTTTGAGTCTCGTAATGCAAGCTGGGATGTGGGAGCTAATCCCCCCAGCTGATGGGTGGGCCAAGCCAGCCCCCCAGCATCTTCTTCCCAACACAGTTACATGACTTCCTACTCATTGAGCATTGACCATGACTCAGCCAGTGTTATAAAAACCTATGTTCTTTGTGGAAAACAGCGTAAGAGCCAACTTTAGATGTTGACAAAAGAGGAGAGAAAATGAGGAGGTCGGGACCAGTGATGATTCTAGCAAGAAAATGAGAGTTTGGTGTGGGTTCAAATGGAAAGCCTAATTCTGTCATGGCTTTCCTTCTGTGATGTCGCCCAGTTCACCATTTGCTCCGTAGAAATAGTCCAAAGAAATAGGGAAAAGTGGTTTGTAACACTGTTACAGTGAATTTCCCCAGCCAATAAAAAATTATCCACCCAACCAGAGACAAAACTTTAGTGAATGATAACAAGACAGTAAGCTTGTTCGATATGTAGAAGCGATCGTCCATGTGAGTTCATTTTGGTGAGTTTATTTAAGTGGCATCTTAATTGTGGAATAAACCACTTTCATCTTGTATTTATAGAGTCATGAAAAGCCTGTGGGTAGTCACTTAGATTTTCCAGTTATATTTTAATGTAGTAGTTGAGAAGCTTCTAGTAGGCAGTAGAGCACTCCCCTGTTAAGCCTGATGTGTGAAACAGATGGAAACAGAGCTACTCTGTGTGAAGGGAGAGCAGGGAGCTCCATCATGTCCCAAGCTTCTCTTCTTGGCCCTGGGGCACCTATGTAGGACCTCTTACTTCCCACAGTTAGAGGTTCATTGTGGTCTGATTTGTACCATGTTCCCAGTGTCTAGCACATGTCCAGACATGGAAAATGCACTTAGTATTGGTAAGTGGATGGACAAGCGGATGGATGGATAGATGGATGATCAAGAGAATGCTGTGTAGATGCCCAGGTAAATAAATACACGGAGGGTGGATGGTTGGTTGGCCGAGTGAATTTATAGAGGATTGAGGGTAGATGACTTCACATTCCAGTCCTCCTCTCCACTATAATCTACCCCGCTTATAATGCCACAAATGGCCAAGTAAAACATTTCAAGACCTTGACATGACATTAGCTGACTTCTTGTAGAGACGCATCCCCACTGTAAGAAGAATCTTGAACACCAAGTTGCCTTTTCCTCACTTCCGTGATCCCAATGTCTAGCTGCCATCAAGGTGACCTCCTACAGCCTCACCCCAGAAGCACCTCCTCCTTTCTGGAGCTCTGCTGGGATCTCACCTCTCTGTGTTCCTTCCTCCCTCCTCTGTTTGTCCTCCAAGAGCCAGCCCCACCATGTGGATATCCCTGAACCCCGCCCCAGCACTCTGATATCTCTCCATCACAGACACCTGGCAGCGAGAGGACAGGTATCGGCAAATGGGCTGAGAGGCTACCCTAAAAAGCAAAGGAGGAGACCCAGAAATGCCCATGCAAGTGAGCCCGCCCTGCCATGTCCCCTGCCCCAGCCCCTCTGCCCATTCCTGCCAACATCCAGCAGAGGGAAGATGGCGTCTGAATTTTCTTTCCCATATTCCCTCCAGTGACCTCACTGGCCTCCTCCTGGCGGCCTCAGCAGTGTAGGAAGAACCGCACAGCTGAGGCCAGACTTGCCAGGGAAGTGGACCCATGACAAATGTCCTCAGACTTTCCTGTGACAGGAGCCATCAGTCAGATTTGAGTTGATGGCCCTCCTTTTCCTTTTAGCCATCCTCTCTGAGGGAATGGGCAGGACTAGAGGCTTAAAGATATTGGCTCAACACCTCCAGTCTTGGTGCCCTTCCCTTGTCAGCGCTCCTCAGGGAGCTTCAGGCAGCAAAGACCGCTTCCCTGTACCCAGACAGAGGGACTGTAGAGCTGCCTGCACACTACACTCAACAAGGACTTGGTAGTGATCTTCTGCCTCAGTTTCCCTGCCCTGCCTGTTCCCCAGACTGGAGACAGCCCTGACCCCATCCTCCTGACATAGGACTGAATCTTATCGCCAACCCTCACACCCACTGTGCTCACCCAGCTGCCACCCCCTCCTGACCCCTCTCAGACCCATTCACCCACCCTGGAGGGATGAACATTCAAGAATAGGTATCTCTTTGGACAGAGTGCCGGCAGGTCCAGAGAGGGCAGGAGTGTGCCGAAGGTCACACAGCAAGTCAGCGATAGAACCAGACACAGAGCCCAGCTCCCCTGCCTCCAACCCCACCATATCCCACTCTCTTCCCCTGCTTGGTGCCACTATTTGATGAGTTGTCAGACAGCCTGGGTTCAAATCCCAGATCTACCACAAAACCAGGGCAAATCTTCAGCTCACCAAGACCCAGCGTCCTCATCTACAAATGAGGGTGACAAAGGTATCTGCATAGAAGAGAAGCCAGTCCCAGACCCTGCCCCACATGTAGTCCTGGGTCACGTAGAGCCTTCTGACTCAGTTGTGGCTCCCAGTTGGACCAGAAATCTGGAGGCAGAGATTTCTGCCCGGCACAGCAGTGGCCCATGGCCCGGGGTACTGCCCCAGCCTCAAAGGGGCCCTTGGGACCCTACCTGCCGAGTAGGGAAGCATCAGGCCTCTCCTTGAGGCCTGCTCAGAGCACATCAAATCAGAGAGGCAAAGGAACTCTGCAGTAGCCTTCTGCCTACCAAGGGCGTCCACTGGAACCTGGCTCCGTACTCGGCTCTGCACAGCACAGGGCCGTGGGCCTCAGCCTCCCCCACCCCAGCCCCATGCTCACATGGACCCTGGCAGCAGCCTCCTCCCTGGCCCCCCAGTCTGCACTCAGAGGGCTCTCCTAGAACACTGTGACCACACTCCTTCACCCAAGTCTCCTCTCTGCCCTAGAGATAGAGGACGGTCTCTTGATTTGACATTCAAAACCCTTCACAGTCTGGCCACTGCCAGCCCCTCCAGCCTCAGCCTCCACCTCTCTCATGACTCCTCAGAAGCACAAGGTTCTCCTGTGGTGGGATTTGCCAGACTGATTCACCGTCGATCTGGAGCCCACCCCAGACCTGCACTCCTCCTTTAAGACCTGATCCACTCCCCTAGACGGTAACTCCCCTTCCATTCCCACAATCTGCCAGGGCTTATGAATGAGCGCGGATCCTGCATTTGGGCTGGACGGTTGGGTGAGTGATGAGCAGAAGGACGTGCCAGCGGGTGAGTGAGAATGACGGAGTAGCTCACAGAGCCCGTCCCCATGCCCCCAAGAACACAAGCAACCCATCCCTGACCTCCCTCCTTGGGACTCAAATGGCCCCTGAGTTCCCTTTGTTGGCTGGCCTTGCCCAAGACACTGGAAAAACCCAGTGAGAAGACAAGGCCAGGGGACACAGGTCCTGCCCTCCAGGGGCTCTCTCCCCATGTGGAACCAGAGGGAGTATGAGTGCAGGCTCGGGAACAGCACAGAACAAGCTGGATCTAACTTCTGGCTCCACCCCTTTTACTACCTCTGTGCCTCAGCTTCCCCATCTGTAAAATGGGTGGAAAAGACATCTGCCTCTCAGGTTGCTGTGATGCTTAAATGAGATTATGGTGCTTATAAAGGGTGTAGAGCCTGACCAGTGCTGGTAAGTGCTCGGTGAGAGCTACCTTAGTATTCACATTGTTCCTCTGTGGAGAAATTGCCCCAGGGCCCCTCCCCACAGTCCCAACCACATCTCTGGAACAGATGCAGAAATGGAAGATACACAGAAGAAGGGTCCCTTCCCCCAGCCCCTCAGCCCTGAATACCTACTTGTCCCAATCTGTCTCTTCCTGACACACACGGGCTCCCTTCTCTGGAATCCTGGTGTCTTATCAGCAACGTTCAGCTGTCTGTACACCTTCACCCTGCATAAGCTGTAGGTCATGGCCTGCTCTGACTACAATAAAGGGATCCAGAAGCAGCCAAGCATCATTTTAGAGATAGGAACTTTTTAGTTTATCAAGATCCAAGAAAACATGAGCTCCCAGAGCCCAGTACCTGGTAGTCACAGGCTCTAGCCCTTGTCTCAGAGTGTGGGCCTGAGGCTGCCCCCCAACCCAGCTCCCTCTCTGTGGGCCACGTGACCTTGGGTAAGTTGCTTAATCTGTCGGGCTCAGTTTCTCCACCTGTTAAATTGGGGATCCTACCCCAGGCCATCATTAGAATTAAGTGTGTGAGGAGTACCGAGCACAGTGTGGGACCCACAGTAGATGTTCCAGAAAGGGGAGCTACTCAGGCTGGTCTGTGGAGGGAGGGCAGCCTCTCAGGGAAGAGCTGGAACTTTGAGGCACAACTTCCTCTTGACCATGGGCACCTTTGTAGAAGCAGCTTGGGAAGAAAGTCCAGGATAGAGGCAAAACCTGCCTTATCCTCTGTGCTTGCCACAGCTGGTGTAGGGGGACGGGGAGGCAGAGGGGTGGGAAGGAGGGCTGTCTTCGTGTTATTTCTCTGCAGTCCTACATATCTTATTGATATAATGGGCCCTGCATTTAGAAATTGGAAGAGTTTCCCTCATAATTTAAAGTAGCACCTACCTCTGCCAGTCCCGGTAACTGGGAGATTAATTCCTCAACCAGCCAGGCAGGTGGGCACCGGCACCAACTGGCTCTGTCTGCAGGCACAGGTGATGCCATCTTTGCACCCAACTGGAGATGAGACTGGCACTGCTGGGGGGCGAGGCTCTCATCTGCAGGTGACGTGGAGGAGGGCAGGGCATCTTCAAGGTGACCCTGAGGCAGCACAGAACGGACACACTCATATCCAGCTCTAGGGAGCCAGGCTGGGCACCATCCTGGATGGGCCAGTTCTCCGGGAGCACGTCTGCCTTGAGTCATGGGTGACCAGTACAACGCAAGCCATGGCAGCAGCAGTTCTGCCACTGATTTGCTCTGTGACCTTGGACAAGTCTACTGCCTGGAGTTTTTCTTCTCCTACCTGTGAGTTAGTTGAGCTCTCCGGCCAGAGCTGGAGAAAAGAGGAGGGGAGGTCAAGCCCCAGTCTCAGAGGCTCCTTCAGGGAGTAGAGCAAAGCACTGTTCCCTTCCTCCCTGTCACAGGCAGCTGGGACACAGTCCATGAGGCTGAAGCCTGACTATCCCCCATTTACTAGGGACACATCATTCACGCGGCAGCCGGGCTGGAAGAGGAAACATGGCAGGGTCTGTGCCCCAACTCAATGTCCTCTCCTTGTTCCCGATAGCTCGGTACAACCGAACCAGCTATTTCTACCCCACGTACTCCGAGAGCTCGGAGCACAGCCACCTGCTGGTGTCTCCTGTATTGGTGGCCAGTGCAGTCATAGGTGTGGTCATCATCCTCTCCTGCATCACTATCATCGTGGGCAGTATCCGCAGGGACCGGCAGGCCCGGCTCCAGCGCCACCGCCACCGCCGCCGCCGTCACCATCACCACCACCACCGCCACCGCCGCCGTTACCACCGAGAGTACGAGCAAGGATACGGTGAGTTGCCGTCCACCCCGGGGCCTGGGCTCCTGTCTGATTCTGACAGCCACCCAGAGACACAGGGGAGGGGGCAGCCCTGCCAGGGGTGGGGCAGGGTGGTCAGGAAGAGATCAGAGGCTCTCAGGGGCCTGAGAGGTCCAGGAGTCTGCCAAAGTGACCCTGAAGGTCAAAGGAAGGGTGTGGTCCTACTCCCCAGCCTTGGCCAGGGTGGACCCGGCTATACTGACAGCTGGTCCAGCTGGGACCTGCGTGGAAGGACGGAGGGAGAGAGGGATGGGTGGGTGGGATGGGAGGACAGATGGGGAGGGGGGTGAGGAGCCGGAAAGGTGAGGGAATGGGGTGGGGCGAGTGAGTGGACAGACCAGTGGCTGAAGGGAAAGATGGGTGAGTGGGTGGGGTGGGAGATGGATGGCTACATGGGCGGACAGAAGGACACATGAAGAGAGGATGAATGGCTAGAGTGGGTGGATACAGGCATGGACTGGGTGGGCTGTGCGAGCGCACGGATAGATGGATGGGTGGGTGGATGGAAAGATGGACAGATAGGAAGGTGGTGGGATGGACAGGTGGGGGGTCAGTTGGGCATATGAATAAGTGAATGGATGAATGATGGCACGAGTGATGAGTGAGTGACTCTACCCCCAGGGAGCCTGCAAAGTGCATAGAGAACTGATTGGAGATTTTCCCAATGAGGGGAATCTCCCTTACACAGAGGTGGTGGTTAATTCCTGGGGCAACCAGTCCCAAAAGTGTCCATCTGGCCAGAAGGCCTGAACTTTTTACAGAAGGCAGTCACCTGACTTTGTCTGATACTTGGAAGGGGACCGTTATCCAAAAGCAGCAAGAAGGAGCTCAATTCATTCAATTCCCAGAATGGTTGTCAAGAGTAGGAAAAAGCCTCCCCGGAGTCCTGACGGAGCCTCTGCCTGGACTCTGGGAGCCATATGGGCCCAGAGGCCACCATCACACCGCAGGTGAAGCCATCTGGAGGCTCCAGAGCCATGGCAGGGCCTGGGAATCTTTCTTCCTCCTCTGGGACAGGCAGAGCTTGGGAGGAAGAAAGAAAATAAAAATTTAAAAACTGGTTGGGTTGGATCTCATCCACATGGACCAGAGGCCTGAAATCCACAGTCCTCTCCCAACATGCCCTGATCACCCAACAGCTTTGTGCCACTTCCTCCCCCTTCCACACAGAGTGAACTGGGTGAGGAAGGGGCCACCTTTCAGCAACTACAACTCGCCTCCCGCACCCAGCCACGGGGAGCTGAAGCAGGGAAGACCTGGACGACAGATTGCCCCACATTTTTTTTTTTTTAAAGATTTTTTATTTATTTATTTGACAGAGAGAGATCACAAGCAGGCAGAGAGGCAGGCAGAGAGAGAGGAGGAAGCAGGTTCTCTGCTGAGAGCGAGAGCCCGATGCGGGGCTCGATCCCAGGACCCCAAGATCATGACCTGAGCCGAAGGCAGCGGCTTAACCCACTGAGCCACCCAGGCACCCCAATTGCCCCACATTTTTCACGCACGATCTCATTCCACCCTTATTGTGGTCCTGGAGGTCAGACTACTTTTTATTACCTTCCCAATTTACAGATAAGGAAGTTGAGGTTGACGGGCGCCTGGGTGGCTCAGTGGGTTAAAGCCTCTGCCTTCGGCTCAGGTCATGATCCCAGGGTCCTAGGATTGAGCCCCGCATCGGGCTCTCTGCTCAGCAGGGAGCCTGCTTCTTCCTCTCTTTCTCTGCCTGCCTCTCTGCCTACTTGTGATCTCTGTCAAATAAATAAATAAATAAATAAATAAATAAATAAATAAATAAATAAATAAATAAATAAATAAATCCTTTTTTTAAAAAAAAAAAAAGGAAGTTGAGGTTGGGGCATTCAGGCTACTATAACAAACATACCAGAAATGGAGTGGCTTGTAAACAAAAGAACTTTTTTTCCTCTGTTCTGGGGGCTGGAGACTCCCAAGGCCCCTGCAGATCTGGTATCTGGTGAGGGCCCACATCCTTCTCGCTGTGTCCCCACACAGTAGAAGGGATGAGCTAGCTCTCTGGGGTTTCTTTTGTGAGGACACTGGTCCCTATTATGAGGGCTTCACCCTCATGACCTAATCATCTCCCAAAGTCCCCAGCTCATACTAGCAGTAACTTGGGGGTTCAGATTTCAATGTAAGAATTGGGGGCCGGGGGAGTTAGCAAACATTCAGACCATAGTCAGGTGCTGAAGTAATCTACCTAGGGTCAGCCAGCCAGGTGGACCCCAGATTTGAGCCCAGGTAGCCCGGCTTGGGCTCCTGCAGGCTCCCCACCACGTGCCACGAGTCGCAGCACTGAAGGAGGCTGAAGGTGTCAGGGAAACAGCACCAGGGGCGCCCCATGGGCCCAGGGCCCCATCTGGCAAATGCACCCAAGACCTAGGGGTCCTGCGGACCTGGACGTTGCTCCACTGGCAATGCTGATAGGAGAAGCAGAAGAGCAGGAAGCTGGCCCTCTCAACGAGACACAGAGGGACATCACCTGGCAGGGGACATATGGCCACGATGGAGGAAGGGGGCAGCAGGTCAGCAGGTCAGTGGTTCACCCTCTATGCCCAACAGGGGAAGCTAAAGAGAAGAGTCAGCATGAATGAAGCAGGTGCTGGAAGCTCAGCCAACCCAGTCCCCTGTAGAGTCCCCAGAAGCTGAGGACTCCCCAAAAAGACAAGCCAGGAGCACTGCCCAGCACTGGCCTGGCTTATTCCTATGCTTATAGCACCAGCCGGCCCCTGGAGGAGTGCGAGGCTCTTGCCCAGGCATGCCCACTCCCAATAAGGAGGTAGGGTTAGGTTTAGGGTTAGAGGAAACTCCACACCTCTGCATATGCTCTTCCTAGGTCCACAGTGCCATTCCCCACACTGCCCCCCCAACAACAGACAAAAGCCTACTTGTCCTTCAGGCCCACCTCAAATGCCAGCACATCCTGCCCAGGTAGGGTGGAATCACCCTTCCCTGTACTTGCTTAGCATTTACCCACACTTCTGCCAATGCCCCTGTCATGGGATGGCGGGGTTGCACCAAGGAAAACAGGACCTGTGGGTAGCTCTTGACCAGTGGGGCCCATAGCCCAGCAGAGGATCTCACCCAGAGAAGATGTTCCATCAGGGAAGGAACCACCCCATTTCCTCCTCACTGCAAGAGCTGTGTTTGCCCATTTCCTTTTATTTAGTGTTTTATTTTTTTAAAGTCATCTCTACACTTGACATGGGCCTCGAACTCACAACCCTATGATCAAGAGCCAGCCAGGTGCCCCTCGCCCATTTTAAAGACCGGGATACCAAAGCACCTTGTTGAACAGCCTGGAAGTTCCCAGGCCCTGAGGAGCCTGGTACTTAGAGCATGGGAGAGGGGCCCAGAGTAAATCCCAAGCTGAGGTTTGAGGTCGACCTTGGCCTTGAGGAGAGAGATGGGCCTGGAGGTGCCCCATGAGCAAGGCCCTGGCCCTGATCTCTGGAGTTAGTGGTGTGACAGCAGGTCACAGCCAGGCCACACCCGGCATCAGGCCTTTGCTGCCCAGTGCTGATGCGCGCAGCCCTGCTTCCCTGTCCCCATGGGTGCCTCCTTGCCCTGCTTAGGTTCTCAGCTCCTTGCCCTGCTTAGGTTCTCAGCTCTTGCTTTGGCACCTCCATGAGGCCTCAGCGGGGAGAGGCACTGACACCCCCCATAGCTTCCTGCAGCTTCTTGGAGGGTGCACAGGGGTGCCAGGAGCCTCGGAAGGAGGCCAGCGAGAAAAGAAGCACCCCGTGCCTCACTGTGGGGAGGGCAAAGCAGCAGAGCACTGACAAGCACCCACCCGGTAGTCCTGGGGACGCTTCTGTCCTCCAGACACCCCCTTCCCCTGGCTGCAGTGACTCAGGCTCTCCTGCTCTCGCTCCTAGCGCTCTGCCTGCGCCTCCTCAGACTTCTCTGTGGATTCCTAGTCTCTGAGGAGAGGAATGGCAAGGTCTCTCCGAGCCAAACCCTTGGCCCCAGGTCCTCTCTCTACACGCACTCCCGGCTCCACCTCAGCCACCTCCCTGTTTCAGGCACTACCGGTCACCCTCGGCCAGGGATCCCCCAGGCGTCTCTCCTCAAGATCTCACAAGCCCCTCAGAACCAGGGATCCAAAATGGCCTTCATCTTCCACGTCTTACTGTACGACCCGGGGAAAGTGGTCTAACCACTGTGTAGCTCAGGCGAGTCACCGGCCCGATGGGTACACAGGGACCCACCCCTAAAGGGTACTGTGAGGACTAAGTCGCACAGAACCTGGCTTCCGAGTCCGTGCTCAATACATGTTAACTCTTTTCATTCTTTCTCCCCCGAGAAAACCTGAGCCAGGGCCACACTGGTGACACTGGCCGCGGGCCCTTGCCGGCCACCTAACCGGCAGCTGCCAGGCGTTCTCTGCAAGGCAACCTAAGTGACTGACCTGGGAACACGTCCATCCTCTGCTCAACAACCTTCAGTGGCTCCCCATTGCCCTCAGGACAAAACTGGCCCTCCTCTGCCTGCGCACAGAGTCCTTCTGCCATCCAGCCGGGCACAGAGAGAAGAGCCAATAAATGTTTGAGAATGAATGAATGAATGAATGAATGGGCGGGCCAGTGAGTGAATGAAAGAAATTCTATTTCTGTAAGATGGAAAGATCTTCAGCTTTAGGAGGCAGATCGGGTCTCTCACTTGCCGGGGCTTTAGAGCGAGCGCCCCCACCTCTCAGTTTCTGCATCTGAGAGCAGGACGCGGCCACAGCGCCTCTCACAGGTGTGGGGTGAATGTGGTCATGGAGACGAGAACACAGCAGGTGGCCCGTGGGTGCAAATTCCTGTTCTCCACTCCTGGGCTTGTGGAGGGACGATTACCTCAGATTGGGGTTAAATCATGAGCTGAAGGGTTTCTTGACTTTGGCAAAGGGGTAGGGAGATCTCACTCCCCATGAGGTGGCTAGGGGGACTTCCAGAGGCCTAGACCATTGGGGTCTGTGCTGACGTGGAAGTAGGGAGAGGAGATGAGAAAAGAATTTGGGGAGTTGAAATGAGGGGCCAGGGGAGTCTTTCCAGCTGTTCCTCAGGAACTCTGTCTGCGCTGAGCTGGGTCAACTCAGGATCGGGGTCTGAGCTAGGTGAGCGCCTCAGAGCAGCCTCAGTTTCCCTAAGCTGTTCAGCCTCTGGGAAGCCCCAGGAAAGCTGCCCAAGCGGAGAGGGGCACGGCAGTGTCGGGCATGCCCATTAGCTGTCGGGCGTGCCACCACAGCTCTCCCACCATGGTCTAGGACACGGCCTTAGCTTCCCGAGGTTGAGACAAGCCATAACCTCCTGCGTGGTGGGTGGGCCCCTCCTGGCCCCAGAGCCCAGAGGCCCACATCCCACCTCTATCCTCACCCTATTTCATGCTTTCTTCTTTCCTGAGTTTCTTCCTCAAGTTCTTCCAGAAATTCTCACCCTTCAGCTGGTGCCCTAAAGGGAAACAAATCTCATTTCAGCTCCTTTTTATAGCATGCGTTATGGGGACCTTTTTCCTAGTAGAAAAGTAATATGTGTTCACCGTGGGAAAACCTTTAAAATACAGAAAATACAAAGAAGAAAATAAGGGTCATGATCCTGTCATCAAGACAGAGCCACTGTTAACGTGTCTGGAATATTTTCTTCCGAGAGTTTTCTCAAGGTCCATAGATAACCCCGGGATTATACCTGCAGATAGAGTTTCACATCCAGATTTTTCTACTCACTGTTGTATCCAGAGTGGGCAAAAAGAGATGAGGGGAGTGGAAAGAACAGTCTTTAGGGTTATAGCGACTGTGCATGAATTCCAGCTCTGTGGCCCTGAGCCTCAGCTTGTAGAATGGAGAATGGGGACGGATATCCTCAGTGTATAAGATGGGGATGGATGGTGCTGGTGACCTCAAAGCAGGTCTCTAGCCCCACCCCAGACAGATAAGCCCCACCCCCTGATGTGGCCTCCTGATCTCTGAAGGGAGGAGCCTGCTGAGACCCCAGTGTGGGTGGGGAGACCTCATGCCTCAGCCATCTTTGCAGCTCCACTGTCCCCTAGCCTCTACTAGAACTGCCAGAAACAGGGAGGTGGAGAGCTTTATAGAGTGAGGAGCCAGGCTATTGAGCTGCCCTCTGGTCCTACCAGTAATTTGTTGTGTGACCTCTGGCAAGTCGCTGAGCCTCTCTGAACCACACTTGTTGAATGCATGTGCTCTATCAGCACCTCCTAAGCAGTGTTACTAGATCCAAGAAAAGAAGAGTCTGTGATCAAATGCTGCCCAAGTACTGTCAAATGCAATTCTCAGCTGCAGGACTTTTCAGAGCCTTTAATGTACTACTATATGGTAAACATACAAACAAAACAGCAGAGAAGACAGTATATGGAGTGGCCAGAATTCATTACAGAAGTGCCTATTCTCCTGGGATAACTAAGGGAATGATGTATGGTTGGGTGCAGGGAGAAGGGAGGCCTGACCCCAGAGACCTCTGTAGCCCTCATTCCCTGACTCCCCAGTTTTCATGTCCCAGCCCTTCTCCACAGTTTCAAAGCTTCCTTTTCACACCACACTCTTATTTCTAATCTCCTTCCTTAGCTCAACTGTTCTTTCCTTCTGCCCAGTCTGTCCCTCTTCTCTTGGCTAATTCCTAGATAAGACCCAGCTTTAGGAGCCCCTCCTCCAGGAAGGCCTCCCTGACCTCCAGGCTGAGTCAGCTCATCCCTGTTTCCACAGGGCCAGTGCTGCATCTATCAAATCTCATGACTCAGTACCAGGCTGTCACCAGGACAGGCTGCTCACCACCCTGGGAGCCCCACCAGGGCAGAACCCACTCCACTTCCTCTCAGAGACCCCATGCCCAGCACAGCAGTGGTGCTTACATTCTGGGGCTAGCTCTGAGAGAATGACAGGCTGCTGGGGTTGGTGAGGGACCAGATGGTGAGCTGGAGAGCACAGGGTCTCAGTGGCCTCAGCTACACATGTAGGACCCTCCCTGCTCCCGGTCTAAAGCCCAGGCTGAATGTCTGTCCCCTGCAGTGTCTGATGGGCACACGTACAGTCGCTCGAGCCACCGGATACGCTACAGCTGTAGCCCTGTCGAAGACTGGTCCCCTCCCTTGGACCTGAGTTCTGATGGGGACGTGGATGCCACAGTGCTTCGAGATATGTACCCAGATTCTCCACCAGGGTAAGGAGACTTTTGGGGGAGGAGGGCAGGAGCCGGAAGAGCACTGGGTGTGAATCCCCACCCTCACCCAGGGGAAATAGCAACATCTCCCCCAAATAGTGTAAATGCAGAAAATCTCTGGATGTGGCCATCTCCTGACCAAGCAGGTCCCAAAGACACAGGGCGTGATTCAACAGATGTCACTGGAGGAGAAGCTCAGCTCCTTCTGACTGGTGTCAGGGGATGGGGTGGAGGGTCCAGGCCCCAGCTCCTTAGTATGCACCCCCAAAACCCAAACCCCATGCACTGGTCAGGCCTCACTGTGTCCAAACTGCACTCATGGCCATCAGGTAGCCCAGTCCCACTGGGGAATTCTTCTCTGGGGGGCCTGTGGGTTCTCCCTGGCACCCTCAGGCAGATGACCCACAGGTTAGTAGTTGGAAAAAGAAGAGAGATCAGGGCCTCCATTGCTTCCTTACCAGGAGACCCCTTTGGCCCCACAAACAGCCACAGCCCCATCACCCTGTACCTCTTTCCCTCTGGGGGGCTGTGAGTGCTCTTTTGCTCTACACCTATGGGTTTCTGAGGAGCCCCAAGGTCTCCTCCTAAGCCTGGAAGGGCCGCTTCCATGACTTGAGGCCCAGGAGAGTCAGACAGGCCGAGGTTGCTGCCCCAGACCATGCACTCTCAGTGCCGGCTGGGAAGCTGCTCCATTGGCCGCGGCCGCTGTTCTGAGCTATCCAAGACCCGGAGTTCAGTGACTTGCCCAAGCACGTTCACATGGAGCCCGGGCTGAGTCAGGACTAGAATCCAGTCTCAGTGGTTCGGGGGTGCCTTTCCTGGGGGGTTTGGAGGGTTTCATTAGAGCCAGCATGACAAACCTCCAGGGCGACCGTCCCTGTCACCAGGCTCCCAGCCCTCGGGAAAGCCCCCACACTGGCCCCTGAAGCCAGGTTCCCCTGAGCCCTGAGGGAGCCTCTTCTCTTGTAGTTATGAGGAGTGTGTGGGGCCAGGAGCCACTCAGCTGTATATCCCCACGGACGCACCACCGCCCTACTCGCTGACCGACTCCTACCCCGTGCTGGATGGCATCATGTATGGGGGCATCATCTACAGCCCCGGCCGATACCAGCAGGCGCAGAGGATCCTGGGCCAGGCTGGCCTCCACACCATCTCCATGGATACCCTGCCCCCTTATGAGGCCGTGTGTGGGCTTGGCCCCCCATCAGGTCTGCTGCCGCTGCCGGGCCCAGAACCGGGGCCCAGGAGCTCCCCGGGCTCACCCACCCCGACCCGGGCCCCGGCCTCTGGTCCAGAAAGGATTCTGTGAGTGACCCAGCCAGCCAGGTCCTGCGGTCCCTCGGGCTGAGCCACAAGGGCGTGCACATACACAGATACACACACAGGCTTACAAGGGCATGCGCACACGCACACACACACACACACACACAAAGAGATGCACACACAGCACTCCCACGTGCACACATACATACACAGTTTATACACCTACACACACACACAGATGCACACACAGCACTCCCATGTGCACATACAGTTTGTACAAGTACACACACACACACAGCTGTGCACACACTTCTACGTGCACACACAGATGAACGGTTTGTACATACACATACACGCTGACACACATGCACACACGCATCCAGATATGCACCACACATGTACAGACATGTGAATACACACAGCCCCCCTCCCACATCCACACAAACCCATCTGCTAAGGTTTCATTAAAAATGAAGCTCTCTTGACCTCCCGTCTCCTCCCCAGCCTGTTGGTTATGCCTTTGCAGGCAATGCTGGGAGAAGACAGTTGGAGAGGGACAGGGCCTTGCTCCCCCCTCTCCCTGGCCTGTTTGCCTCTGCCCTCGCCTGGCAGGCTGTGCCCAAACTCTGATTCTGCCTCCAGAAACTGCCCGACCCTCCCAGGTCGGCCGCCTGCCCCCACCCCCACTCCAGGGCAACACGCCCTCCTGGGCAGTGGGACAGGCCTCAGGAGGTTCAGCCACACACTGGACCCCTCCCTCAATTCCAGGGCAGCCACACTATCACCACCCTGACACTTACGGGGTGAGGGACATGGGCCTGGGGGCCCAGGCACAACCTGGAAGCCCTCACCGCCCCCCCCGCCCCCTCCCTATCCCAGTGCCCCCGGCCTCATGGCGCTGGCGGCGTTATTTTGGAGGGCCCCCACCCCAAGCGACTGGTGATGAGCAGGGTCCTTGGCGGGCGTACGACAGTGGTGGTGGTGGGTTACAGCTGTCCCCGTGTCAGTCCAACCACGGCCCAGGGCTGAGGGTCTTCAAAGAAGAGAAGGGTGGCCTGGGCACAGCTCTGAGACAGAGACGTGGCCCCTCGCTAAGTGCGTGCCCAGCTGACCACCATGGCCCGAGTGTGAGCTGTCTACCCTTCCCCAGGGCGGCAGCTCCTAGTTGGGAATCGTGAGCTGATGCATTCTGCCCCTGCCCTCCAGGGCACTTGCAGAGATGAAATACTGGGGAAGCGGGCCCCTTAAATACTAGCATGCCACCATGAGAGATCGGATCTGGGCCTCACCGCCAGAGGCACCCGGAAGGGGATATATGGGTGTGCCTGCTTACAGAGTGGCCCACAACTCCCAGCAATTTCCATCCGAGAAGATGGATGAAGACCCAGCCTGCCAGAGGGAGGCAGCCGAACAGCTTTGCAGAGTGTCCCGCCAGCATTGCCAGCGGCAGGAAGTGGAAACCTCCGAGTCCACCCTGCCTCCCCCCGCCCCCACCCACCCCTGCCCCCCATTTCCATTCTTCTAATGAAGGGCTAAGACATTTCAGTAATCCCTTTCTTGAGAAGTAGGGTGACAAGGATGGCAACCGTGAATTTTACTTTCTGTAGAAATAGGGTTTCTTCCGGTGCAGAACCGAAAGGAATCCGTGCAGAGGTTCTGTGGTATCCTGAAGCACCCAACTCCGCCAGGAAAGGGACCTTGTTTACAAGCAGTTCTGTCCGCCTCTGTGGTGTACTGTTTTCTAGGCAAAAAATATCTGTCTGTTGTACTGTATAGCCTTTAAATGCACTCCAGGGATGGGACTCTTTTAAGAAATGCATCCTGCTTCTGCAACCCTAGAGAGTACTGTGGGAAAAAAGATTAAAAATCCCTAAGTACTCACCAGTGTTTGAGGGATGGAACTAAACAGCTTTTGTCGTTCCTGGTTTAAGCGCTAAATAAGCAACAATGTATCTTTTCTGTGTTCAAAATAAATATATCGTATCAATAAAAATATTGCAAAAATAATATTCTTGAGGAGTGTGTGTGGTAAGGGGCTTGGGCCATCGTTCATATGTAAGGAAAGTTAAGTAAATAACAGCAAATCGGAAGTACCTTCCTTCTCTCAAGAGGAGCAGCCCTGAAATCTTGTCACTTCCCTGTTGACACGGCTATTGGGGTAGTCAGGGACTTCCACGCTGACTCGCTTCTTTTCTTAATCTCCCTGAAACACAGCTTCATCTCTCTGAGCTGTGGTCAGTGTAAATGTCACCAACACGAGCCATCAAGTTTTGGACTTGACTTTAGGATCCCTGGACACTGAACTTTCTCCTAGCCCAGCAGCTGATTCTCAGCACCCTGATGGTTTCAACTACCAGGAAGGGGGTAGGAGGGTTGGTAATTAGACGGAGATGAGTTGCTTTCTTCCCCTTGCAGAAATTCTTTTCTGTGCTCTCCATAAGACCTCAGCTTTGTTCATTAATCCCTTCTCTGGAAGAGGCTGGTTGCCTTCCTCTGTCACCCTTCCCTCCCACTCAAACTCGAGTGGCATCCACCAGCAGAGTCCTAGACCCAGGAGTACCCTGAAAGTGGGGCTCAGTCCTGAAGAAAGGTGCCACGCCAGTTCCAGGTCCCAGCCGTCCTGCACCCACTCCAAGCCCACACTGCCACCTGCTGGCCGCCTGCTGCCACTGTTCAAAGCCAACAGGTCTGCCTTGGAAAAATAGCGCGCACGTCCCTTCTCTCACTTGCAAAGCTACCGCGCACCGACATTAGCAGTTGTAGACAGAACCTGTTTGGGTTCTGAACTGGTCTTCCACCCTGGTGATATTCCGTGAGGCTTGGCCAGTCAAGCATTCTAGTCTCAGGAATCCCGCCTGCCCCCCAGCCTCTCTCTGGGCAAGCCTGAGGCCTAAGCACCCCTCCCTGTATGCAAACTAATCACACCTCTGACCTCAACACCAGTGTGTGTGGCTCAGGGGCCACCTCTGTGCTCTGGGGCCCTCTTGTCCAGAATGAATGTGGCACCACGGCGATGGTGTCCAGCCACTCCAGCGCGAACTACACCAACACCCAGTTCCAACGACACACAGGATCCCCCACCAGCCCAGGAGACTGCGGGGCTTGGCATTTCCTGCCTCCCCCATCCATGACACACCCTGTGTCTACACATGGCGCCACATGCAAGGTCATACGGCACACTCCTACAAGGAGACTGGCCTCTCTCTGCCACGACCTGAGGGGTGGGGCCGAGCAGCACACCCCAGGCAGTGGGGCTCATCAGGGGCCCAGTGAGAGGGGAGGTGACAATTCTCAGGATGGTGGGAACAGGGTGGGGCAGGACCAGGTCCTGGGACAGGAGGAGGGCACCAGGGGTTGATGAGGGAGGTGACCCAGGAGCACCCAGATGGAGAGGGCAGCGAAACAAGGAAGGAAAGGAAGCCAGTTCAGGGTGTTGTGGTCACACAGGTCCCCCTCCGAGGAGGCAATGGAGAGCACACCTCAAAGTTAGCCACCAGACAGGAAAGGAAACAGCACTCACAGTAGCTCACAGACTCTCAAGGGCCATCGTTTCTCCTTATCCCTGGTGCAGCCAAGCGGGCTTCTGTGGCCAAAGAAAGTCTTCAGATGGGGGAATGCCATGGCTGGCAGGTAAAATTCTCCCCACAGTCAGCAGGCTCTGCCACCGGGCCAGTATGCACAGGCACGGCGCACTCCAAGGTCTCGGACAGGGCACCACCAACATTGGCCACCCATGAGCAGCCCGAATCACCCAAGAGAGGAAGGAGGGTTGATACAAAGTCTGGCCACCCACAGCCACCCCCTCAGAACACCACCTGGCTCAAAATAACTAAGCCTGCCCCCTCACATGCACACAGAGGGGTCTCTCACACCAAGTTCCTCGCAACACCCTCCGACACACGCTTATGTGTGCTTCACTCAGCTCACACCGCCCGTAGCTACACACACGCCCGCTTGGGCGGCTTTGGGGCACACACGCCAGTGCCCCACACTAGGCGCCCACACGCTCAGGGGTCCCCCGTGCACACTCCGAGGCCACCCACTTCTACTCAGGTGCCACCACTGTGTCCACCTGATGACTGACCAGGTCATGGACATGAACAGTAGAATGACAAGCAGTTCCAGCGTCTGAGAGAGTGAATCTTTGGTCGTGGGCTCTGCTCTGCTTGACCTCACACTGAACCTCCCCAGTCAGGTGAACTCTCTCAATCAGAGCTAATTACCTGGTCAGGCCTGGTATGTCGGGGCTGGGGGCTGGGCACGCCCTTGCCCCCCAGGGTCGCAGTCCCCCTGTGCCTGCTAGGCATCTCTCCCAGGAATCCCAAGGCTCCAGGTCCCCAGCCCCAGCTGTCACAGCCCCAGCCTTACCACACTAACTCCTCCCCAGCCTGACGCCTGAGGTCCTGGGGCTGGCCAGCATTCTGCCCCACAGCTGGGAGCTGCCTGCTCCATGACCCACCACAAAACCACACCACCTGGATTACAGGGAGAGGGGGGCAACTTTTGAAAGGGGAACCCTCTATCTTCTGGCAGGTTCTGAGACCCATTACCTATCTCCATGACTCAACTGCAAGACAGAAACCCAACTTGAACCCTCTTAAGCGTATTTATTGACTCATGTAACTAAATTGTCCAAGTGATAATTCTGACTTCAGGCTCAGCTGCATCCAGGAGGTCCAAGAATATGGGCAGGTGTATTGCCTCTCTTGGCTCTGCTGCCCACCATGTCACCTTCATTCTCCCAGAGGAGCAATGGCTGTGGACGCCCCAAGTCTGTGTTGGCTGGCTCATGGCCCAACCTCAGGGCCTATCTCACTGCTGGGCTCTGACATCTCGTCCTCTTGCCCTCCCTTCCCTTCCTGGCCTATCCCTGTGTATTTGATCCATCCCTGCCAGACTTGGATGATTCTTCTCTGAGTGGCGAACCCCAGGGATCAGGGGGCCTTATGGAGTGGACAACTGACCAGAGCAGTCTGTTCAATTACAATGGAAACAAATTCCTCTGTGTGTAACGGCCTGGAGGAGGGTAAGTGCAGACTTCCAGAC